TTGTAGGTAGTACTTCCAATTGTTTTTTTACGTTTGAAATATGTACAATGATGGCACAGTTAGAATAGATAATTCAGTAAATATTTCTTTGCATGATATTCTTTGATGTACCCCTTTTATGCATCTAATAATTTTCTTTTGCTGTAGAAATACTTTTTCTATTTGAGTTGAGCCTCCCCAAAATATCAACCCATAGGATATATTTGATTGTATCAAACCATAGTGAACCAATAACAGCACGTCCATTGACACTACCTTCTGGTTTCATTTAAATATTTAACAAATGTTTTACGTATCGGTAGTAAATACTTTGAGTGTATCTTTCTCGTTCTTTTGCAGATAAAGTGATTCACGGTTTGAAAAGGCACAAGAAAGCCTATATTGAGAAGAAACCTCATGAGTGCCAAGTCTGCTTGAAGTCTTTTCCGTCCAAATCGTCGTTGACTGTCCACTTCAGAATTCACTCAGGTGAAAAACCATACAAGTGCAAAGTCTGTCCCAATGCCTATACGTCCAGAACTTCGTTGGTGGTGCATTCTAGGACCCACACAGGGGAAAAACCGTTCGAATGTCAAGTTTGCTCAAGACCTTTCGCCTGTAGATCCGCGTTGGTGGTACATTCCAGAATTCATACAGGAGAAAAGCCGTACAAATGCAAAGCATGTTCAAAATCTTTCTCTGACAATTCTTCCTACATAAGGCACATCACGGTGCACGAAAAAGAAAAGCAGCATAAGTGTGAGGTGTGTTCAAAATCCTATACCGACAAATCGTACCTTGTGGTGCACTCCAGGATTCATACAGGAGAAAAACCTTTCAAATGTGAAGTCTGTCCAAATGCGTATGCCCGCTATCCTTCATTGGTACATCATTCCAGAATCCATACTGGTGAGAGGCCGTATCAGTGTAAATTCTGCTCCAAACCTTTCATTTCTCAAAATGGGCTCTCTCGTCACGAGAAAATCCATGAAGGAAAGACACTAGAGATGCCGAGTCTGTACAAAATTGTATCACCATCCAAATTACGTCCTGTGGTGTTTACTGTAACTGAAAGTAGTCAACTGGTCCAGGTTACAAAAACTAGTGAATAAGAATTTCACTCACGAAAAACTATTTCATTAGGTACTCTCAACTGAAGTAAATAATTTTTTTTTATTAATTTGAAAACAAACACAGTGCCAGTGGAAACCCTTGATTCGATTAATAGTTTTTGTTTCACCTTCTATGCAAAATAATGCGAGTCTCTTGAAAATATTTTTACTTCAAGTAACTGATCCCTCTGTATTTGTTAAATATATGCACATTCATGGTGCAAATGCTACAGTCAATGTGTTGACTAAATTGTTTACTAAAAGTTGTTCCCGTCCTTCAGAATTAAAAAGAAACATTACTACAGAATGTTTCAGTAAGAGCAAACAATTCAGCTTACTTTTATTGTGTAGGGTCTTGCAGGTCAAGTTTACTTACAGCATCTTTAAGACTTCAAGAAAATTTTCAAATACAAGTGGAAAGACATAGGAAGGTAGGTTTCAAATTATTTTCAAATATTTCGGTAGTCTATAAACTGAAATGATTGAAAACGTTTCTTGAAATTATCATATTGTATAAGTAGCAAAACTTTCAAGGCATATTTTGAAATATACCATATTTTTAAATATTATAAAAAAGAAACAAATTAAGGATTCAAGTTCTTACAAAATAAAGGTGTAAACAAGGCTCACAAAACCACCAATGACTCAGAAATGCATATTGAAAATAAAGAGAAGAGTTTGGTACCTGATAGATCAGTTGTTTATAAATTGTCACATGGATCATGTCGGATGTTTTACATATGTCAAACTGGAAGAACGTTTGAAGCACGAATAGAAAAACAGAAACACCTTTCAACTCCTCACAGAGGAATATTTGTTCGGTCACGAATTCAACTTTCAATTTCCAGAAAAAAAGGTTTGAAAGTCAACTTTCTAGCATGTATAGAAATCCCTAAATCAAAGAAATTACTCATCTGGATCACTGGAACATAACAAAATTTATTCATCATCTGTAATTTACGAAACAAAAAATTAACATTAACTTTTTCCATTCCCCTCAAATAGACAAAAACCAAATATGCTTATCAAATAGGGGACAGCAGTGAGTTGACTTGGTGCTAATCTTATATTGGAAGGACTACTTCCACTGGAGTAGGAGGATTCATCTTCTTAGCAAAATCCTGCAGTATTAGTTTAAAGAATGTCTCCCTCTGCCAAGATATTAAACCTGTCCTCTCATTTGTATCATACTCATTTCTCTCCTATATTCTAGATAGGTAGTAACCCAATTAGTAATCTCTTGATCCCTATCAAATGTGTCCATATAGAAGTCCTCAAAGTTTGGGATATCGAACCTTGCACACGCAGTTGCTACTAGGGAAGCTATATAAAAGTTCTTCCTATCCATTTCTACTGTCTCGTCCTTGTGACGAAGGATCTTAATGAAAAGGACATCATCTACATCTTCTCGCCGCAACCGATCTATAACTCTTTGGAATTGTTCTCTGAGATCTCTCAATGGATGCAGTCCTTGAAGCTCAGGATACCTTCTAAATATGTATGCATCGATGAGAATTAGATGATGCATCTCCGCACCTCTCATCAAACGAAGAATCTCTTAACACACATTAACGATGGTATTCCCTTTCTTGATCTGAGCGATAGAGGACATGGCTAAAAATATAGTCCTTCTTAATTTGAAATTGGCGCTCATAAAAGCTTGATTCATCTCTAGGTACCGCTGAGAAGGGAATAGGGTTTCATCCCAAACGTCTACCCATTTCTTCTCTCTGACTGCCACACTAAAAGTTCTTATTCTATTTGTTATCCATCGTGTTGCATTTTCTGGAGTAAGCTGTTTAACTATGGTTAGCATTATTACACCCAACATGACGAGAGGGCCAGACATTGATACTGTCAATTCTCCCAATTAGGCCTCTCCCTGTAGTTTTTTCCTCAAGGCATCAAAATGATGACTTTCTAATTAACAGATTTCATTTCCGGTGATAGCAGTGTAACTTATGTCTATCCCGGCTTCTGCTATCGCGGTTTTAAAATCCTTACTGTCTTTAATGGTTCTTGGGGTGGCCATGAGACATAAGAGTCCTAGAACGGACCGAGCTATCTTCATCGAGGTCATTTTATCATGAGATGTCCCTGGCACGTCCGCCTCGTAAAAATGAGACATATGATATAGGCAAAGTCGGGTCCAGAATCGAGCGTCTCTTAGGTATTCTTCTAATACGTACACCTCTAATTTTTCCTTCGGGAGCTTGATAGGTTTTATCATAGTCCCGGAAAGAGTCATCTTGGCATAACTTCTGGAGTTCGCGTGGATGCTCAATGAACCAAGAGTGATGCGGGAAGCAGCCATGGGAAGGTAATGGAATTATGTGATTGTAACGATATCAATAGCGTTTTTTGCTATCAAATAACGATATCAAATATCGGACAAATACATAAATAAGCAAAACACATACGTCACATAACACAATTATGTGTTCTTTGCCCACAGAGCTAAAGAATCCCTTACGAAAGAGCACAGAACAGAAACCCTGCACTTTTTTGATTGACAATTTTGAAGTGCAGAAGGGCCAGATATTTTATTATTCGTTTCTTGATAATTACGACTTCAAACTCGAAATTTCGACTTCAATTTTATAACTTTGAATATTTTATCGAGAAAAGATACATAGTGGTGAGATGAATATTTCAATATTAATTTTCTTATATATATATGCATCTCTCCTCGATACAGTATCCAAACATATTTTGATTGTCAGAGAACTGATACATGGGATGTTTCTTCCAAGCTTGGGGCTTTGTTCACACAAGGTGGAGCTGTTACTTTCTCTTAGACGAAAATTTCATATATACATCGAAGCCGCGTTGAAATTAATCGAGTCCCATGCACTTGTGTGTGGGTCGGATGTTTCCTTTACTGATAAAAGGTAATGCTTCGGAACCGATATGTAGGTGACCTATTCGAATAATCCTGCTGGATAAACGAGAAACATCTGCGAGACTAAGCTCTGTGAAGTATGTTGCCTACGGTGTAGGTAGTTGAGAGAGATGAATATTTTGATATTTTATTTCGAAATATTTTTATACTTATATATTTTATATCAACTATAAAACTAACATATTTTGTGTCAAACAACAGAAAAAGTGGCTTCATTTTTTTGAAAAAACGATATTAAAATTGCATATAGAACAGGTGACACGTTGGGAAGGTTATTTAAAAATAAAGATAATATCTCTGACTTATAATTAAGTGGAGTATATAATGGAATTATTTTGTAGTATTGTCATTAACTGCGAAAAAGCTACTGTGAAACATGTGATATATTTTTGAAAATAAAGTTTGTGAAAATCAGATCGTAAGGACCAGTAAGGAAATTACATTTATATGTTCTATAAATTTCATAGTGGAATATATTCTTTTTATCAGATTGCAAACTTTTAAATCATAAATAGGATTGATGCCGTTTTGGTTTATATAGATTTTTATTTTTAGTTGGTTGAAAAACAAAAAGAATAAGCAAAGGAAAAACTTCATAAACTTGATATTTGTTCAATTCTGAAAACAGGCAGATTTTAGCCTCCGAAATGTTAAGATAAGTATTGTATAATACATTAGTTCTTGTTTTGATATGCAAAATTATTCAATACAAGTTACTCATGAAAAATAATAATAATCTTTATTTGAATTAACGCTGTAACTTATCAGAGTGGACTAAAAAGTCTCCCTTGCAATGTTCATATTGTGGATGGTAAAAATACCCAGCAATTTATCTGAAGTCTGTTGTATCACCTACGCCTTCTATGAAACGGTCCCTACTAAATGGTTTCATTATGGCTACACGTTATAAGGACCATCACCAACAAGAGTGGTGATGCTTCCTAGATAGCCCATCCAGAACACAAGACTAATGACCATAGCAGTTGAATAAATTAAAAAAAAATCAATAAGACATATAGGTTGTTCTTTAATTAAAAAACTATTGAACATGTAAAAAACCACATTTGATTGTAAATTTGCACTAATGTATACCTTATTTGTACTTGAATCAGACTTTGCAAGCTCCGTTTTTGCCTACCTTGTGCGAGATCAAACGCATACCGTCGGGGAAATATTTGGAACACAATTCGCACTGATATGGTTCTTCTCCCATATGAATTGTATAGTGATCCAGTAAAGTTTTAGGTTCTGAAAAGCATTCGAAACAGAATTTGCACTGAGGCACTACCCCTTCGTGAAACTTGAAATGCTGCTCATACAGACTGTTGTTTCCAAACAATCTCAAGCAGAATGGACAACAGTATTGTCTGAATATCATGTGGTTCCTTTCGTGTGCGATCATAGATTCACATGAAGCGGTAGTCTTATAGCAGAATTTACAATAGAAAGGCGTGTCTTCCATGGGATTCCCAGAGTGTATCATGAAGTAGTATTTATTACGGTAATATATTGAGCAAATATCGCACCTGTGCTTGTTGGTTGACCTGTGAAACACAGAGTGCTTCGTCAGTTCGATACCGCTGGGAAATGTTCGTTGACAGACTCTGCAAATGTGTGGCACTTCCCTTCTATGGAGAAATTTATGGGGTATCAAATTGGAAGGATGACCGAAAAATTTACAGCAGACTTTACACTGGTGGGTCCGTTCTTCCAAATGAGTTTGGCGATGCTTCAATAAATCAGGCTTAGTGGAAAAGACTGCCAGGCAGAGACGACAAGTATGATGACGTGTAGCATGGAGTTTCATGTGCTTTGCTAAAGATGTGACGCATTTGAAACGTTCGGTACACATTTTGCATTTGTGTCCTCGTCTTGTTATTGATTCTGAAATGGTAAAATGGAGAAGTTAGAGATACAAATGATTCACATACAACAGAACATGTGAAGTTGAAAACGTTGTTTGTTATAGATTCTAGAAATTGGCTTTCATCAACAAAATGTAACATGGCATGATAATATGATAGATAATGACAACTACGGTTTCTAGAATAAGTATTTATGCAGGAAGGAATAAATACCTATATGTATATCACAAACGTCTTGAGTTGTTTTATCACCAGATACATCATATCATCACTACATTGAATGCAGTATTATTTTTAAAAGAGACACGAAATATATATGTATAGGAGACTTTACAGTAATGCTATATAATAGGTTGAATCAGGATTTTGCTTCACTTGACCTAGCACTCACATGCTACGAACAAACACTACTTCTGTTTCTCGTAGACTTACTGTTCGAAACTCCTCTGGACGAATCCTTCTTGACATTTTCGTCTAATACCAATTTATCTAAGACTGAAGTTAGCTCCTTATCGGTCACCTTTCCTTCTGCACCATCAACAGGATTGTCCAAGATACTGCGTATTAACGAGGTATTGGTATTGTTGAATTTTTTTTTAGTTTCCAGTGTGATGTCGGCAAGACGCAAGACTAATGAATTCTGTAGTGCCAGAGTTGATTCTGCCTCTGCCATTGCAAGTCTTCTAGCTATTTCACAACCTGAAAGGGTTCATATGTGATGTTTTTTCTGGAACATATCTACTTGTACTTGCCTTCGTCAACGTCCATTTCTGAAACCGAGCTGTGTAAACAAAGAAACCAACAGTCACACAGATTTCACTATGGCCTATGTCAATTTCATTGTTTATAAACGAAAAAGGAAAGAGCATTGACAATTGACAGATAACAGTCTTGCAGAGTTGCCACACGATATTATATTTTCGTAATAAACTTTACTTGATTCGTAATAAATTAATAATAATAATCGCCTTTATCTCTCACACAAATTGTACACTTCATGTTTGTGACTATAAGCTAATGAACAGATGAAAAGGGCGGAGTTCATTTCATATGGAGACAAAGGTATCAATACATATCCTTCCATGAAGTTTCAAGTTCATTTAGAAAAAAGAGCAACGAAAAAAGACAAAAAAAAAGATAAGATTGGTCAAAAAGATATTTCTTGTATTTCAATTTGAATTTTGTGAACGAGAGACATTTAAGTTCCAAAGGTATTGTAAATAGTTCTATATGCTGCATATTTGATGTGAAAAACAACGTCTAAAAAATTCAGTTTTAAACTTTTTGCTGGAGTTAGTGTATCTATAATTCTTGCATTTACATTATGAATATGAGAGCGAAATGTCATTTTACGAAGCAAACAGGAGGGTTTTTTGGTAATCATGATTTTGTGTAAGAAACAAGAAGCATGAAAAAGTCTTCTCTTCTCCATATTCAACCATCTCGTAGAAATTAATTCATTAGAAATTCTTTCGTGTCTACGAACACCATATATAAGTCTTAGGCAAGAGTTCTCAACTTTTTGTACTTTTGAACACGACTTTTGATACATATTAGAACCGTAAACGCAGCCGGCAAATAGTTATATATCCGTCACTGGCTCCGTATAATATTTTCAGGGATAGATAAGATCTCTGAACAAGTTCATTTATGTGTTTTTCAGTGATTTCCCCGGTGCACACGTACATACTATATATTTAGGTCAATTTTCAGAAGCTTGCAAAGAATCGCAAAAGTAAAACCAAATTGTATACGCAGATCATCTTTCATCTAGACCTAATAAACGCTAGTAAGGGACTGATTCGAATTGAAAATAATCGATAATTCCAAATATCAAATCGATCATCAAGATAATTCTGGAGGTATACCTAGAGGAGAACCTGAACTGGGGAGATCACTGCTCTATAATACTGATATCTCTCCGAGTCAAAAATTTAATCTTTTCAAAACTCTTAAAGAATTTTGAAATTACTCAATGGTTATATATGTCAATCACAGTGAAATCGAGTCTCGGCTGCGACATGATATCAGGTTGTTCATCTGCGGTGAATAATATACTGAATGCCCAAAACATGCAAACCACTTTTCAAACGCCTAGGCCACAGTATTTCTGTATACAAAATACTGTGCCTAGGCACTTTAACAGTGATCAACCTGAAGATACTGGAAATAGCTTGCTTTTCACATGATAGAAAGCACTAAGCCAACCGCCCAGATAGAATACATCCATATTTCACATGGAAAATACAAATAAATAATTGTCATTTATACTTCAAATAACGAACCAGAGTCGCACAGTTATGGAAATCAAAATGTACAACCACAGAATTTTACTATTCTGTGGCACAAACACCTACCCTAACTCTCAAATCACTACCCCGTTTTTACTTTGAATTAAAACTCGGAAAAACTCTTATAAGGATTCCATTCTACCCTGAATATATTTTTTAACGAAATCTTTGTCTAGTCTTTATGTTATATAATCTATTTATATCTATATATACTCACCTTATTCACCAGTTACTACCACTTGGCTTCTCTATAATTTTGGTAGATACCTAGATAGATAATTTCATTAATCTCCATACATCATTTAGCTCATTGGATGTTGTCCTAATATTCAACTGAATGTATTCAGTTAGTGAATAAAAGGAATGATGGAGCAAGAAATTCTTTGGTCGGTTTTAAAAATGTTTCTTTTTTTGTTAATTTAATGCATTCGGAAAGCAGGTTATAAAAGTAGCCTCCAGCATACAGGGGAAATTTTGTGTACCATGTTTTGATAAATCGATTTAGGTGTATGTTGTTTTTATATGTAGTATCCTGCTCGTTAAGATCGCTATTTATTGTAAGTTCATCTTTATTATTAAATGTATAAATTGATAACTTATATAGGTAAACACATGAGAAAGTATAATATTATTCTGTTTGAGGGTATTTCTACAATATTCGTTCTATGTAATGTAATGGTATTACAGCTGATTGCCGTGTAGACAAAAGCGTAATAAATGTTAATCAAGTGGTTTCTGCGAAAGTTCGATTTGAGACTTGTGAAAGCATAAGACAGTTCATTCAGTTTTTTACATATGTTATCAATTTGGTGGTGGAAGGTTTAGTCTAGCTCTATATCAAGAAATTTTTAGCTTTCTGATGCTAAGATATTAGTTTGGCCTGAGTTCAACTTCATGTTGTTCAAGTGTTTTTAAGGATTATTGTCCTTACTGCTACTGTCCTTACGATACACTGGAAGTGTATCGTTAGCAGTTAATGTAATTATTCAATCGTTATGTGGAGAGGTAAGGCATTGATAGCAACACCAGAGGACCCAATATTCCACCTTGAGGAGTCCCAAAGGGAATACTATTTTCCTCTGAAAGTTCTTTATTGACCTCAACTTTTAGGGTTCTACTGGTCATGTATGGGGTCTCGAATGCCCATTGCTTGTATCATTATCAAGAAGTATGGATTAATGATATCAAAGCCGCGGGTGAGGTCAAAGTAAAGTCCTACATATTTTTATCGGAATTTTTATAGATGTACTGAATCATAGCTGTTGATGTAGTCAAAATGGAGTAGTTGGGCCGGAAACCTTACTGACAAAGGGTTTATATTTTTCTATACTCTAAGTAATTCATCAATTGATTGTATAAAGCTGTTTCTATAACTTTCGAAAAGTAGGTGAATATACATATAATCCTATAGTTTTCTATACAATGTGTGTCTCATTATTTTAAATACTGTGATTTTCAATGTCTTTGCAAAGCAACCTTCTGTTACTGATAGGTTAACAAGGGTGACCAATTCACTTGCGATTTCTTCGACAGTCATTCAATAGTGAAGCTGGAATCTCGTGCTTTAAATCTATTTTAGAATGTACTCTTTTAGTTACTTATGTGACTTATCCCATGTCTGTACGTGACTTTTTCAGAATAATGAATATTATCAATACTATTACAATTGGTTCTTACTAAATGGGTTGACTCTGGCTACATGACGGACCTATGAAGAGTCATGATGCTTCCTAGATGACCGATCTAGAAATCACGACTAATGACCACAGCAGTCGATTGAGTTGAAAAATCAATTAGAAATATAGATTGTTCTTTAATTTAAAAACTATTGAACATGTAAAATATCACAGTTGATTGCAAATTCACACTGAAGAATACCTTACTTTTACTTGAATCAGACTTTGCAAACTCCGTTTGTGCCTACCTTATGCGCGATCAAACGCATACCATCAGGAAAATACTTGGAGCACAATTGGCACTGATATGGTTCTTCTCCCATATGAATTGCATAGTGATCCTGCAAAGTTTCAGGTTCTGTAAAACATTCCAAACAGAATTTACACTGAGGCATTACTCCTTCATGAATCTTGGCATGCCGCTGATACAAACTGTGGTTTGCGAACAATCCCAAACAGATTGGGCAAGTGTATGGTGTGAATGTCATGTGGGTACTCTCATGGGCGATCAAAGATAAACATAAAGCCAGAGACTTATAGCAGAATTTACAATAGAAAGGCTCGTCGTCCATGGAATTCCCAGAGTGTATCATGAAGTAGTATTTATTAAGGTAATACTTTGAGCAAATCTCGCACCTGTGCTTGTTGGTCGATCTGTGAATCACAGAGTGCTTCGTCAAGTCGAAACCGCAGGAAAATGTTTGTTGACAGACTCTACAAATGTATGGTACTTCCCTTTCATGGAGAAACTTGTGGGCTACCAAGGAGGAACGATGAACAAAAAATTTACAGCAGAATTCACACTGGTATACCTGTTTTTCCAAGTGAGCTTTGCGATGCTCCGATAAATCAGGGATAGTGGTAAAGACTGCCTGGCAGGTACTGCAGATATGTTGATCTGCGGGAAAGAATATCGTTTGCTTCGCTTTAGATGTGATCCGTTTGAAACGATTGGAACACATTTTGTATTTGTGTTCTCGCCTTGTTATGGATTCTGAAATGGTAAAATAGAGAAGTTAGAGATACAAATGATTCATATAGAACTAAACTGGAACACTTTCTCAACGTGGTGTTGAAAACGTTTTACGTTCTGTTTAATCATCGGGTGTATCTGATCATAACTTCAATAAAGGCAGTATTCTTTTTGAAAAAGATACAAATAAAAATATAGAAGATTTTACAGTAGTGCCATATAATATGTGTAATAAAAATTTTGTTTCACTTCACCTAGCACTTGCATGTTAGGAACAAATACTACTTGTTTCTAGTAGACTTACTTTTTGAAACTCCTCTGAATGAGCCTTGCTTGACATTTTCGTTTAATACTAACTTATCTAATCTCGAACTGAGCTCCTTATCGATCACCTTTTCTTCTGCGCCGTCAGAAGGTTTGGCCAAGATATTGGGTGTCAACGAAGTATTGTTATTACTGAATATTTCATTAGTTTCCAGTGTAATGTTAGCAAGACGCCGAACTAATGAATTATGTGCCTGAAATGATTCTGCTTTTGCCAATGCAATTTTTCTAGCTCTTTCACAACCTGAAACAGATCATTTGTGATGTTTTTTCTTTTAACCAGATCTACGTATACTTGCCTTCGTCAACGTCCATTTTTGAAACCAAGATGTTTAAACCGAGAAACCAAGACGAAAATACAAATCATAGCTTTTCTCAATTTTATTATTTATAAACAAAAGGAAATCTTATTCTTCTTTTCGGTTCAATGGCCTCAGCAACTAAGGCTATCCGGCCAGTTGGTAACGAAAGTTGTTAAATCCAAATGTGGCCATACTTCAGTGGATTTGGGGCGGACCCATCCACAATTGCGTTGAAATTACTATCCAGGAACGTGTCAAGCACGGCAAGCTAAAAGTAATCCAGATATATTATACAGGCGAAAACAATAGTTGTCCATGCACTACGAAGACATCGCAC